ACTTTGGATAGTTTATACAGGTTTAGGGTTTGGGGGTTTAGGGTTTTAGGGTTTAGGGGCTTAGGGGTTTAGGGTTTAGGGGTTTAGGGTTTAGGGTTTAGGGTTTTAGGGTTTAGGGTTTGCCTATAGTCTCCATTGTAGTTCCTTCTTGGGGATACCTGATAAGATCCTTAATGCATAATTGGTTAAACCAAAAAAAGGAACTACAATGGAGACTATAGGTAGGGTACTGTAGAGTTCATGTCAACCTGGCCTTCTTTGCAAGATGCCAGAGACTTCGAATCGCAACATCTCAGGCGCAGTTGCGTTTGCAAGATGCCAGAGACTTCGAATCGCAACATCTCAGGCGCAGTTGCGACTTGGGGCGCTGCTGCACGACGGGGACAGGCAGGGCCGGGCTTCTGAGAATTCGTCTTTCGATCATGACAAAGTACCTCTGAACTCTGAACCAAATTCCGAGCCCAAAGCCCAAGACTCCTAAACCCTGTAAACCTTGCAAACCCACAGCATCATTTTGCACAGTCCGAGTGTGAGAAAACCCCCCAACGCATTTCAACAAAAAGCCCACACGGGCCGCAGCTGGAAGGTAGGTCATGCAATGTAGACTTGGCGTTGAGCATGATTGGAGGTTCATCGCGTGATCTTGTCTCGCTCGCTGTCTCTCTCTTTCTCTCTCTCTCTCTCTCTCTCTCTCTTTTGTTTCTCTCTACCTCTCTCTCGCTCCCTCTTTCGTTCTCTGTCCTTCATTATGCGCAGACTCGTGGTAATGATTGAACCGAAGTTGCGCCCATCGAATGATTCGACTTGACTACGTAAGCAATTATTTGTGCTCGTTTGCATTCTCTGTGTATGAGTACGACCAGAATCGACTGTGTCACGGGATCGCTCACCACAAACCAGAGCATTCAGACAGTCCGATTGCCCAAGCCGGAACCCTAAACTTGGTAGCTGCCAGGAGTCGGAACCACTCTCTTGACCAACAAACCTTCGACCTTACTCCACAACTGAAGCTGTCATTATGTACAGAAGCTGCATGCCCCATGGACCATATAGTTCATGAGGAAACCATACTGCAACCTTGCACTCTGAGCCACAAGACCTTTGCAGACACCGTGCGCCGGACCCCGCCGCAGCCGTGGCCCTGTACCACACAGCTGCATTAGCGGGCTCCGCCTCTGCGCAGTTTCTGTTGGGCTTCTCGGCTTATGCTTCAGCAGGGAAGTGGGAATCCGATAGTTGGACCGCGATCGGAACACTCAACACCCCTACTGTAGGAGCTAGCAGCATCACCAGCTTCGCCATCGCAGAATCAGCAGCAACTGGACTGGACAGCCGCGGCGGCAGCAGCAGCAGCAACAGCATCACAGACGTTACTGTCATCTCGCCATGTCAGGCAGACGTCACACAGTTGAACATCAGATGTATCAGTGTTTGCCCCTTCGCAAACCATGAAGAGCACCATCAGTATCCACGCCATCATCATGATAAACCGTCTTTCTTCTGCCTGCATCAATCATGCACATTACGCCTTACAGCACCCATTGGTGTCACATGTGTGCGAGTGTGTGTGTGTGTGTGTGCGTGTGTGTGCGTGTGTGTGTGTGTGTGTCTGTGTGTCTGTGTGTGTGTGTGTGTTTTTACCATCTGGCAGGGGATGGGATGGTATGGTGTGGCATGGGCACACATACAACCTCTGCTGTTTTGCATGTCTTTTCCAAGCCAAGCAAGATGTGTTTGCGGTTAACCTCTGCCAGTAGTTCAACGTTCTTCGAAGAACGGCCGGGGACAGTACTGCAAGACCCAACATCTGCACCCCTGAATGACACAGTCGTGTCGGATCTCGGGGAACCGTAATCTCCGGACTTTGATTGTCTTGCCATACACGCTTAAGGTTCATTTGTATATATATATATATATAGAGTGTATATATATATATATATGTATCTCAATATACAACCTATACATACATATATATATATATATATATATAATAATAATAATAATAATAATAATAATAACAATAATAATAATAACAATAATAATAATAATAAATATATATATATATATAACAATAATAATAATAATAATAATAATAATATATATATATATATAATATATATATATATATACATGCATAGATGTGTATATGTAAACGTGTCCTCCCCCGACCTCGTCGAGCCCGAGCGCTAAGCAACGTGCATACAAATATGTACATATGCACATCTGTAGATGTATGCGTATGTGTATATATACATACATACATACATGCATGCATGCATGCATACATACATACATACACACACACACACATGCGTAGATACGTGCTTACGTACTTATGTATATACATACTTCTGTAAGAACTCAATCCAGGGCCCAAAGGTTAGCAACTTCAAAGCAAATCCTAAGCCTGTATGCACACCTCAAACCCAGTCTTGACAACTTTTGCCTAATTGTGAATGTATAGCTTTGCCTTGCCCCAGGTTTGGCCTACAGCAACGGGGCCGGGTAGGGATTGCAGTTCAGTGGCGAGTTCATGGTTTACAGCCTGTGGCTAGTAGTTGGCGATGCGTTATGTGGAGCAGGAAGACTCGAAGTGTAGGATTGTGGTTAGTGATTTTGGACTCACTCGAGTGTTAGACTTGACATCGGTCGATGCCCTGCAAGTGATCAGTCGGATTTCTTGAACCGTATAGCCGTCCTAATGCCTGGGTCTGGCCTTGAGAGTTTGAGGCATTCGGGACGGTATCTACATGCTTTCGGCCGTTGAGAGAGGGAGGGAGGGAGAGAGAGCGAGAGAGAGAGAGAGAGAGAGAGCGAGAGAAGGAGACCGAGGTGAGCGAGATTAATGGAGAGAGCGAGAAGTAGGAGGATGATAGGAGGAAGAGTCCGAGGAGGAGCGGGCATGGTAGCTGAAGGGCGAGTTTCGCTTAGTTGGGGAAGTTCCTTGTGTGGGCCCTAGGCCGCAAGCTTTCAATGCCACAAGAACAGCGGCCTCGTGCATTCTGAAGCTCAGTTGACAGCGACGGATAAGTCCCCCAGCAAGGTCCTATCATTAGAATGGCGCTCTAGATCTCGTTGGCGTGTTGGGTACAGACGACAGCACGTAATTGGGGGAAGGGTGGTTTTGACTTACCGTCTTGAGCTTTTCGCAATGAAATCCATATTTGATGTTGCATGTGGAGTCTATGTTGTTTGCTACAAGCTCCTACTTAATCGTGTATCTCGTGGCTCGAGCTGGAGACTACTCTGGCATGCAACCCCAATCTTGCTGGGAGAAACGTCCTAGCTACTTACTTCACTCCACCTAAACCCTAAACCTAAACCCTCAACCCTAAGTACATCGTGTCGAGGACGGCGTTGAGGCCGACTTTTCTCAAGCTGCACATTGGTTCAGATCCTTTGCTGCATTAGAACCTGAACCATGACAGCCGTGTCGCTGAAATCGTAAATCCAAAAGTCTTATAACCCGGGAATGCAACCCTAAACCCCAAGTCCTAAACCGTCTATATCACCAGGCTAACTTTGCTCTGCGTGCCCGAGGTCTCGCTGCAAGACAGGGCAGCCAGAGCTTCGCAAAGGCGGACAAAGCCATGCGTCTTGGCTGGTGTAGGGCAGCTCTCTCTCATAATTGGGATTTATACGGTTTGATAAGGGTTTGTAGGGCTGTGTGCGCGTGTCAGAGGGTCATAGGAGTTTCGAAGTAGCTGTAGGTTAGCTTTTCGTGGAGCGTGTCCGTGATTATGGGTGTTTTGGTCTGGATTCCAGTCATGCCACGCTTGGAGTAAATTAAACCTCTTGACCCTGATGCCGCCACAATCTCAAAACCCCTAAGTGTCAATCCCCAATATCCTCAGCCCTAAATTTTAAGTCTCGAATGCTAAAACCCAAAGCTTAAGCCCTGTGGTAAACCCTAAGCTAAGCCCCTAAACCCTGAACCCTGAACCCCCCGAAAGCAGGTAAAATAATGGCCCAAAACCTCTTAAAGGCTATTATTCTACATACTTTTGGGGTCCAGGTGAACCCTACACCCCTAAACCCTAAACCTGCAGAAAGCTCCACTCCACATGAGG